GGGAGAAGGGTTGGCCGGGCTGTGCCCGCGCGCCTTGCAGCCCATGTTCAGGCGACGGGCCTTCTCCGCTTGGCCAACGGAGGCGGGCGTGCCGCCGCTCGAGGCGTTGCCAACGCCCGTCGAGGAGGTCTTGAGTGAGGAGGGGCGTCCAGAGCTTGACTTCATTCACTTCATCGCATCCCCCCGGCCCTGCATGGGGTTCTGCGAGGTCGACCTTGTACCCCTCATTGTACTGCCGGGTGAGCTCCGGTTTCTCCTTGTCACCGTGCACGACCGGCGCGTTAGCCGGGGCGCGCATCGCGTCCGCCCAGGCGGCGAGGACGCCGTCGTGGGGCCGCCGGTGGTGGGCCTTGTTGTAAAGGTAGTCGCCGAAGAAAAATCGACAGGCATGCCCCGCTCGAGCGCGACCCGAAGGGTGGGAAGCGCCGCGGAGAGCCAAAGGCCGAGCTTCCGCTGGAGCTCCTCCTGGAGGGTGTCGGAGGAGAGGGCGGTGGCGTACGTACCGTCGACACGGACATCGAGGGCCTTGCCGGCGAAAGGCGTTGAGGCGGAGATGAGGCGCGTGGCCTCGCGGTTGTTGACGGCGCTGTCTCCGAGGGACGGGTTGTTCTTGACGTGCACATCCCGCGCCTTGACGAGCTCCTGGTGCGCGTACCAGTCCTTGTGATTCTTGATGGCAGCGAGCGCCCGCGGCCGCGGGTACGTGGATTTGCAAGTGCCATTGAGAATCGCGTCGGTAGCTGGAAGGGACTCGGGCTCGGGGAGCGGGATGCGCTCTTGGGGTAAAACTCAGTCAGGTAGCCGCCGCGGACGGTGTAGTAGCTAGTACTTGTTTTTGTCGCGGGCGGCGCGCTTCTCGCACACCTCCTTCCAGTCCGAGAGGGCGGACTCATAGGTGGCGATAGTTGCGGCGATGGCGGGGTACTTGGACGCACCTCCCTCGTCGAGGGCGAGAAGTCGGGGTTGTGGGCGACGAGGGTGCGCCACTTCTTGAGGAGCGACATGGAGAAGTCGCTGTCGGCTCGCGTGAAGGCGGTGTCGATGTTGCACCCGCCCATCTCGGTCGGCAGCTGTGCCTGGAGCCACGCGAGGTCGCGGAGCGCCTGGGGCGAGGCGTCGGCGCGAGCAATGCTCTCAAAGGACTCATTTTGTTTTTGTTTTGCACATAAACGCAAAAACAAACAAAACACAAATCTCTCTAAACGCACAACCCCGGGCCCCGAAATCGCACAGTGACAGTCAGATTGTCGTTCACCACACGCAGCAGATCTCCATGGCGGCGGTGGCGGGCGACGCCGACAACATCAACAAGCAGGCGCGCTAGACGCGCATCAACTGCGGAACTGGGAACTGGCTCAAGTCCCCTTTAAGCGGGCCAACTGGGTCAAGAACAAGCAACTTCGGCAAACGGCCTCTTGTCCTCGGCCCCAGTGGGGGGTGTCTGCGCCGCCTAGCTCTGAGAGATTTTTAGCAATACCAAACGGGCACCTCCACCCTTCACCACCCTTCACGTACGGATCATGTAGTCCCCACAATCGCGGTCGTGGGATCACTTGTCATTCATGTGAGAGAGTCTTGTTAGTAGAGCCGAGCACTTGGAGCACTTGGAGTGCAGTCATTAGCGGTGAACCTTCTTTTCTAGACCGGAAGGATTGAGAGCAGCCTCGCTCTCAATCCTAGAAGTCGAAGGATTGTGAGCAGCACTCCTCGCAATCGTAGCATCTCTGTGCGATTGCGAGCGCCGGCGCTCGCAATCCTAGACTTTGCTAGGATTGCGAGCGCTCTGGCAGTAGTCGTAGGCGTCACCAGTCACCTTGGGAGCAGAGCTGCTCTTAGTCCTAGAAGATGTAGGATTGCGAGCGCCGGCGCTCGCAATCGCACAGAGATGCTACGATTGCGAGGAGTGCTGCTCACAATCCTTCGACTTCTAGGATTGAGAGCGAGGCTGCTCTCAATCCTTCCGGTCTAGAAAAGAAGGTTCACCGTCATTAGCCTCACATCCAGGGCCGAGAAGCGGGCGAGCATTCGCTTTTGGTGTGCCAGTCCGCGCCAGTCTGCGCCCAGCCTTGTCGTGCCAGTGCTGTGAGAGAGGCTTCGTTTGGGACCAAAAATGCTCGCGACCATCGCGGCCGCTACCTCTGACGTCCTCGTCATCGGTGGCACTGGTCTCATGGGCGCGCCGACGGCTGCACGGCTACTCGAGGCTGGCCGGCGCGTCGTCATCATGAGCCGAGGCAAGACGCAGGGCCAAGGCACCAACGGCCGCCGGCCCACAACGCCAGCTGGCGCCGAAATGCTGCTGTGCGACCGCGACGACGAAGATGCCTTTGTCGCTGCGCTGTGCTCGCCCGACTGCCCTCGCGTCATCGTTGACTTTACAGCGATGAAGCCATCGCAAGTTCAGAGCGTCCGGCGCGCGCATGAGAAGCTGCCGCTGGCGCACTACATCTTCGTCTCGACCAACATGGCTTATCCGGGCGGCGTGGAGCGCATGGATGTCTCCGCGACGGACGGACGCATCGCGGAGAAGTCGGCGCGGCTCGGCTCAGCGAGCGAGGCGCCGTGCAACTACGGCGGCAACAAGCTCAAGTGCGAGGCGCTGCTTCACCGTTACGCCGCCGCGGCGCCGCCGCTGCGCTCCACCGTCGTGCGCCCGCCTGCCGTCGTCGGAGCCGGCTGCGACCCGCGGCACAAGAAGCTGCAGCGGCTCTGGTGCTGCCGGACACTTCCTTGACACCACCGACATCTCCGACTGTAGGCACGAGAAGCTGCAGCGGCTGGTGCTCGGCCTGCCGCCGCTGCCAGAAACCAAGGCGTGCCCGCCCGCCGAGCGGCCCGGCCGCCGCTTCCGCGTCGCGTGCGCAGACGACGTGGCGCAGGTCATCGCGCGGGTCGTCGACCGCCCGCCGCCGCCGACACATGCGTCCGCGCAGCGGCAGGACGGCGGTGCTTCCGAGGCGTACGAGGCCTTCAACGTTGCCTCGGGCGGGCCGCAAGGGTACGACCTCGACGATTATGTCGCCGCGCTGGCGGCGGCGCTCGGCCGACCGGTCCCCGAGGTTCCCGAGGCGCCCGAGATGCGCAACTATGAGAAGCAAGGCGTGCTCGACACGACGAGGGCCGAGGAGGAGCTCGGCTTCGTGCCGACGCAAATGAGCGAGTGGATGGCGGCGACGGTGGCGTGGCACGCGCCGCTGCTCGACGGCTGTAGCTAGCACCGCCACCGGAACAGATGCTCTTTAGCCGTCGCCGCACACAACCCGAACAAACAACACATGTACGTCACATTTATTTCTAAACTTTCGCTGGCTCGCGGCACGCGCCACGGCTAGTTGGCTCTGGCTCAATGTGACGCCCAAACACAGAAGGCACGTACGGATCAACTTTTGCTATTTCTTTTGGCTGCTGCTGCGAGCCTGCCCGAGCCCCTTCTCCATGTGAGGCCACGCTGCCCCCCCACACGACGTTGCCACACCGCATTACTGTGCGCGCCACCCCACGCCGCGCAGGGCTAGGAGGGGGCGTAGGGACTGCCGCACCGGCGCACGCAAGAAGGGCTCCACGCCGCAGCAGCGGGATGACGTGATCCGTGGCATTCGGAAAGAGCGCAAGGCGGCGGCGGCGGCGGCGGCGGCGGCGGCGGCGAAACCGGCGGTGGCTGTGGCGGTGGCGCGGCCGGAGGCGTCCGCGGTGCGCGTGAGAGGCACAGGCGGCTCCTCGCGGCCAGGGCGGGTTGCGGCGACCGCCGCGCTGCTGGAGGGGCAGCCTGCGGTGCGCTCCCCCCCCCGTCCCCGCCTGGAAGCCCGTGCGGTCCGTCGGCCCACGCCGGCACCTCCTGCACAGCGCCTGCTGCCCCACCTCCTTTGGCAGCGCCTCCCTCCATTCCACACACTGGCCTCCCCTCCGGTCCCTGCAGGACCCGGGCGGCAGCAGCGCCGCCAGCCGCGCCCTGGACATGCTGCGTACGGAACTCACTGCGAGCGCCGCGGCGACGCGGCGAGCATACGCGCAGGCCGGAAGCGAGGCGGCAGCTGTCGGTTGAGTCAGCTGAATTCCGCATGTTCGAGACGGCGCGTCAGCGGTCAGGTCGTTGCACAGTTGTGTTTGATCAGCTATGATAATGGGAGGAAGGAAATGATAGAGGAAGAAGAGACCGAGCGATTGACATCTTTAGCGTTTGATGCGGGACTTTACGTATATGCGGCGCGGGCGCGCGGGTAGACCCAAGTGCCAAGACCGGGTCGGCGGGTCGGCGCGGTCATCGTCGGCTTCTCCGCCCTCCTCAGCGACCTGTTGCACAGCCGCCGCCGATTTTAGCCAGAGCCATCGCTCCCGCCGCCCTCTGGCTCGGCCTGCGCCGGCGAGCAGGGTCGATCGCACGGGCCGGCGTCGCCCTCCTCATCCGAGCTCTCGTCAAACGCCTTTGGCCGGTGGTACTGGCAGCAGCACTTGGACTTTTTCCGCCCGAGGTCCTGCCGAAGGGGCGGGCGGAATGGGCGATTACGCGCGCGGCATGGCGCGATCGCGCGCGCGGCCCTGAAGCGCGCCTCGTTATCCACCACATCCTCCGCAAACCTCACCCTCCGGCGGCGCGCCGTGCGCAGCTTCAGCGTGAGATGTGCCGGCGCGGTCAGGAACTCGGTCGCTGTGACGCAGGTGGTGAGGCTCGCGCTGCTGCTCGTCGCCGCCGTGCTCATGGCGCGTCTCAATCAAGTCGGAAGCCTCTTGTTCTTGCTCGGGGGCTAGCGGATCTAGCGGCGCGTCGAAGGGTAGCAAAGAAAAAGCTCAACAGGGCAGGCCCCCGAAAAAGCCACTGATGCCACCGGCCGGCCTATCCACTGGGATTTCATCGGCCGTTTGGAGAACTTTAAGCCAGATCTGCTGCGCGCGGCGGCTCGCTTCCCCTCCCTCTTGAACTATGTGCTACACGTTTATGACAGCAGCCCCCATGGCGCACAGAATAACAAGCACGGCGGGAGTGAAGAGGAGCAGCAGCTTCTGCGCCGTGCCGTGCTTGATGACCCCGAGACGGCGTGCAACTTTTGCTACGTGCACACGCAAGACTACGTATGTCTAGGCTACGAGCTGCCTGCCGAGTGTGGCGCGTGCCCTCCTCCTCCGAAGCGATTTCCCTCCAAGTATCCAAAATAATCAGCACTAGAGTCCCTGCCGTGTGGCCTCCACGGCACTGTGACACCGCGCCGCGGCGGCCTCGCTCGGGAGAGGCTATTTCGGACAGATCACACACCTGTTATATTGAGAAACACACGTGCTATGGCGCTGCGCGCCCGCTGGTCTAACGTCTATGAGAGGTTGGGGTGTGAGCCCTGTGGAGCTGTGCCCTGGCGCCCGGAGGCCCTGGGTGCTGGGAATGGGGACTACCCACGTGGGCCTAGAAGGCCCGCGCGCAGGGTTCACACAAAAACACAATGACACTGGGTCCCACGAAGGCGAATGCGATGACGGGGCCTCTAGTGTGTGAGCTCTAGCTACGGCTTTAGTGAGCTCACTCATACGCACGCACGCAGATAGATCGCTACTAGGATTCGAGGCGGAATTTCACGCGGCGAACACCAAGGAATCAGAGTTCACGGGTGCCGCTGCGCAAGCCGAGGCGCGGTTGGGGTGCCCACCGTGCGCCCGCCCTCGTTGAAGGCGTCGACAACAAAGTCATACTCGACTCCAGCGGACAGCGCGCGCGTCTCCAGCGACGTTGCCCCGCCGTACACCTGGTAACTGTGAAACTGGCCGGGGGCGCCGCGCTCGCCGAAGCGCACCACGTACCACTCCGCCCGTGCCGCCGCGTCCCACGCAACGCTGGCGCGCCGTGCGTCGGCGCTGTCGCGGGTCACTCGCGGCGCGCCGACCCTCGCCGGCGGCTTGACGGCGGCGGTCGTGCCGAATATGCGGAGGTCGGAGAGGCCAAACGCGGCGCCGGCGGGCGTGTGCGCCGAGATGACCCGGAGGTGGCGCAGCGACAGAGGCTGGCGGAGCGCGACGTAGTCGTGCGGCGAGTCGCGCCCGCCCTCCCTGCGGTCGAGTTCGGGGACCACCGTCCACCGCACGCCGTCCGCCGACGCCTCGCAGTAGTACCGGCACGCGTCGCGGAGCGGGAGGCGTCCCGTCTGCTTGGCGCCCACCTGGTGGGCCAGGAGGTGGGTGGTGTGTTGCGAGGCGGCGGGCGAAGGAAGGCGGCGGCGGTGAGAGAGGGCGGTGGTGGCAAAGGGGGCATCGAAGCGTGTCAGGCGTCGCCTCAGCAAAGTTGAGCTGCACCGCGTAGGCTGTCGCGTTGGCGCCCAAATCCACCGCCAGCCACTCCCCCGCAGCGCCGGTCTCCGCTGACCAGCACGTGCGGATGTCCTCGTCGAAGGCGCGCGACGGGGCGTTGGCGCCGGAAGTGGAGCTGGCTGTGGCCGGCTTGTGGAGTGACAAAAGCTGCCAGTCGGGGCGCCTAGTGGCAGGTGGAGGAAGGTCGGCATCCCATGGTGGCACGAGCAGGGGCGCAGGAGCCTTCCATGGCCAACGTTTAGGTGCTCATTCTCTATGTGTCGGTGTCTGTGTGACTGCGTGCGAGATTTGCCTGCCGTCGACACCAACGGGGAAGTCGCCGAGGTACGTGTCCGCGTTCATCCACTCGCCCTGCACGTGCACCGGGTTGATGACGAGTCGGCGGATGTGCCTCGCGATGACGGCGATGGTGACGTGCCACAATCCGCCGTCGAGGCCGCGGAAGATGCTGCCATGCCCCGCGCCTCGCATGAAGCCCGTCGGCTTGGCGGAGAAAGGCGAGACGGCCGAGTACTTGCTGTGGTGGCTGTGGCCTAGGTCGCGGAGGCTCTTCGCCACAAAGAAGCCGTCGCTGTACGTGAAGAATTGCGTGCCGGGCGAGGCATACTGGAGGAAGTATACGCCGCCCACCTTGGTTATCCACGGACCTTCAACATACGGAGCAAGTCTGTAGTCGTCGTTGCCGTTGCCGCTCACCTCCCACCCGTTCCGCGCGGCGTCGGCGAACGCCACCGCGCTGTGGTGCGAGACCTCCCTCCACCCCCGCGCCGGGTCGAGCTCGACGACGTGCGACGCGTTGCCCCCACCTGTCGGGCCCCAAGTCTGGTGGGAACCGTACGCCAGGTACACTCTTCCATCGTCGTCGAGGAAGAGCGCCGGGTCGGCGTACGAGGGCAGGGTCGCCACCTCCCGCCACTTGCCCTTGAACGGGTCGTCGGTGGTATACAGCGCTCTCGAGTGCGACGCGGTGAAGAAGAGCCGGCCCTCCATCTGCATCACCGTCGGCGCGTAGTCGTCGACTGGGAGGCCTACGGGACGTGTCGGGGACACGTCGTGGACGAGTCCCGGACATGGCGGCGAAGTCGTCGGTCGGGAGCGCCAGTCGGCACGATGAGGGACCACCGGACCAGGTCGTTGGACGCGTAGTACCCGCCATTCTTGGACAGGAAGAGCAAGTACCGCCCGCCGAAGACCACCATGGTCGGGTCCGCCCCTTCGCGGAACGACTCCCCCGTGGTGGGCTGGAAACGGTACGGCAGATCGATCGGGTTGCAGAACGTCGGCGCTGCGGCGGCCGCCCCGCCCACGGCCTCGGCGGCGGCGGCGGCGGTATGGCTCTCGAGAAGCCCACGCGAGCTCCGCTCGGCAACCGCCGCACGCCGCGGTGCAGCGGCCGAGCCTCTTCCCTCCTGCGCCAATGCCACCGCCTGCCGCAGCGTCGGCTCGAGGCACTGGCAGCGGCCCTGCCCTGTTGCGCAATGAGACGTGCCTGCGGCAACCGGCAACGCACGGCGCTGAGCCGTCTCCGCCAAGTGCATCCCGTGGGGAGCTTGGGCTGGGCGAGCCGCCTTGGTCTGACTTGTCCCGCACCACCGCGAGCTCGAAGCAGTTCATCGCGGCGTACAAGCACCCCCTCACGGTGCCGCCCTCCCTGCCGCATTGCTCCTCAGTCTTCCCGCTCCTCTCGTCGGGCGGCCTACGGGACGCGTAACGGACGCGTCGTGGGGGGGCGAGCCCCGGGCATGTGTCGGGTCCGCTCCGCTCGTCTCGCGGCCGGAGGCTGCAGAGCTGAAGCCGCTTGAGGCGGAGGCGGGCTGCCACAGCGGCATACGCTGGCTGGTGGGCGGCGGCCCACGGCGTCACCTACGAGCACGGGGCTTTGCGGCTCGCGTGACAGGATGAGCCGGCCGGCGGCCGAAGGCGTGAGATTGAGCCGTGTCCCTTGTGCTTGAGAGTGCCATGAACTGGGGTTTCCTCATGCGGGAAGCGAAGCTTGTCTCTGCTACTGCGGCCGCCTCGATGAAGACGGCCGAGGGAGACAGCTGCGGGATGTGCACGAGGTGGGCCCCGTGCGGCGAGATGAGGACATCCGCCTCGGCGTAGCGTCTTACCTGGACAGGCGCAGAAGGCGCGGATGGACGGTGCGAGCGCGTGCTGCGAGTTGGGTGCGAGGTCTCCTCACGCCGTTGATGGTCTCGACTCCTCTCTCTTTTCCTCTCTCCCTCCCTCCCTCCCTCGCTCGCTCGCTCGCTCGCTGCTCTCTTTCTCGGCTCTCTCTCGGCTCTCTCTCGGCTCTCTCTCAGCTCTCTCCTCTACTGTGCACCTGGTCGCAAAGCGAGTCGGGCCGCTCCGGCAGCCGAACCACCTCGAGGGGAGCCTCTGCAGCCCCGGCAGATCGCAGCGCGGCGGGCAGGTGCGACCGCAGGGCGGCGATGGTCGCGTTTGACAGACTGCGTCCTCCCACGTGCGGGCCCGGCAGCCGGCACGGGTTCTTGGAGCCGCCGCCGCCGCGCGGGCGGTCGATGATCCGCACCCGGAGAGGGGCGGAGGGCGGCCGCGAGGAGATGCCGCACCGGCGCCAGACGAGGGCGCGGAACGCTTTGCCGGTGGCGGCTGTGAAGGTGCCGCGTGTGCCTTGCGGACGGAAGGACCTCCTCTTGAGGCAGCGCGGCGCGTCGGTCGTCCCAAAATACAGCCTCGCAGTGGGAAAGGCGTAGGCTAGCAGTTCGCGTGTGAGCGGCAAGGCTTCGTACTGCCACCAGATGATCTCCGGAACGATATTGTCCGCAAAGCTCGTCGAGATGATAGGATACGTCAGCTCCCGCGTCTGGTGCCCGATGTTAATGACGAATCGCTGCTTGGACGTCGCTCGAGGGAGGCACCGATTCTTGTCATAGGGGCAAGGGACCGTCCAGCACAGCCCAGGGTCGCTGATTCGCGTGTCACGAGCAACAGCGCCCAGCAGAAGCGCAGGCAGAAGCGCAGAAGAGTGTTGCCATCAACCACCCGGCACCTTTTCGGAACACTCAACACGCCGTTCCCAACGACGATCTTTGGACCCCAACCCCAAAATCTCTTACGGGAACAGACGCCGTTCATGGCGATCCCTTCCGTGTTTCGGCCTTTTTTCACTCATCACCCTCTCTCTCTCTCTCTCTCACCCTCTACTTTGCCAGCAGACGCCGTTCCCACAGCCAATGGCAACGATCTTTGGACCCCTAAAGAATATATGCCGCATAAATATACTTTTTATAGGGACAGCTTTTCAGAAGCATTCCGCTCCAACTTGTCACTCTCACTCAGCGTCATAGCATTCGAGCGTGCCGTGCGCGGGGTCCCGCCGCGGTCGAGTTGTAGCAGCCGAAAAGCAAGGGCCAGACTCGCTCGAGCCCGTCCACGCCTTCGTATGTTCGGCCGCGCAGCACCACAGGCGCGTGATGCTCGGCAAAGGTGCGGTAGTAGGCAGCCCACTGCTCTTGTGGGGTGGCGTGGATGCGGCGGGCGGAGACGGCGAAGCAGCCGCGCTTTGGGAAGACGTAGTCTCGGGCGCAGTTGAGTCGGATGGCGCCCGTCTTCCGACCCAGGGCGAGGACGTGCTTACCGTTTGCTCGCCCAGCACCGGCGCAGACGTCGTGTACGATGCCCAGCTCGCTGCTCAGCGACACGAAGCCAAGGTCAGCGCGTGAAGCCAGCTTGCGAAGCGCGTCCTTGAAGCTTAGCGGGTTCCTGATGTGGCTCCTCCACGGGCTGAGCTTGAACTCCCCCGGGTCGGCCGCCCTGTTCACGCGCGCGCGAGACGTGCAGACAGGGTTGCCAGGTGAGAGCGAATGGCGCGGTTCACGCCTCGCACAACTCAGAGAGAGAGAGAGATGCGCTCTGCATGGTGATATGGCGGGATATGGCGGGATACCGGGAGATACCGGGAGTCGAGATACCGGGAGATACCAGGAGATACGAGATACGGGCAGATACGAGATACGGGGGGAGATACGGGCAGAT